AAAATAGATATTATATAAATGAAATTTACCCTCTGAAGGCAATAATCCTTGCATTAAAACAGCTACGATGAACCAACTAACTGTACACACTGTTCAACACTCGCGAAACAACTTAACGCACTGTTAAATAGTACTTTGTAAAAAATGTAAAAGTAGATGTAAAAATGTCTCAATGCCCTTGGAAAAAGAAAACAGAACTGTACAACGTGTACAATAAATTAAATGTAATTTAATACAAAAGTTACTTATCAGATCATAAAAAACTATTGAATTAAATGTAACAGCAACTTACATAAACTGGCCTACAAATTACATGCAGACAGTATTGAACCAAATTATTATATTGGCTGCTGGGGCAATAATAAATATTAACACTAACATGCTCACTAACCTGGCTGCCAGCAGAGAAAGTTGACTTACACTTTGTAAATCCCTCCTGGAAAAAGTAAAAAATTAAGTTAAAATTAAAAAATGGTAGACAAGATGCATATAAAAATAGATATTATATAAATGAAATTTACCCTCTGAAGGCAATAATCCTTGCGTTAAAACAGCTATGATGAACCAGCTAACTATACACACTGTTCAACACTCGCGAAACAACTTAACGCACTGTTTAAATAGCACTTTGTGAAAAATGTAAAAGTAGATGTAAAAATGTCTTGACACCCCTGGAAAAAAAAAGAAAAAAATAAGCATACAATAAGTTAAATGTAGTTTACATGCAAATGTAATTTATCAGATCCCACAAAAAATTGTATTGAACATAACAGCGACTTATAGAAAGATAACAATAGAAATCCAAGATTAAGACAGCTTCAACAACCTTGCAGCTTATTATTTCGCTTAAGTTGAGAGTTCGTTTGGCCTCAGCTAACTGGGTCCTCACAGTGTCTTAATCTTGGAGAATGACTACTCCGCAGAGTTTAGTGTTGGCGAGTAGGGTGGCAGGAAAGTTATTGAAAAGTATGAAAAAAACATTCTCTTTATCATCAGCGTTTTATGGATCCTGGCATTGTCCATAACTAGAAATGTGTTACATAATGAAAGCCCATCAAGTTTTGTACACAGCTCACATAAAAAAATCCCAAAAGTTTATCATTTTTCAAATATTTATATTTTTTGATGAAATAATTTTACTTTTCTTAAATTTAAATAAAGGTTTTCGTAACTAATAGCTCGTATTTATTTTCCCCCTGTCTATAAAATCCCAAAAGGGGCAATTATTAAATTTGTTGAGGCAATTATTAAATTGGTTGAAAAAATTATTAATTTGACTGAAAAGTGCTATATATTAATGCTAACAACTGGAATATTTGGAATGAACAATAGGCAAAGTGTCATTGTCATCAGTTTTAACATGCCAGATTACATTATGAATAATTTGTAATTTCTAAATAATGAAATTTTAAATATTTCAATTAATTATACTTGTTATCTAAGGTCTTGGTTGAGAAATATGGCAAAAAGGGAGGAAAATTAAAAGTTGTAGATTAAGTTAAGGAGTTGGTCTGAGTTGATCGAAGTCATGAAAGCTCAGGTTAGAGCAGCGTAATGAGCCAAAAGTTGTGGGGTTCGAATCCCGCTTGTTTTTAATTTCAACCAAGACTTTAAGTAAAATGTATAATTAATTGAAATAATTAAATAGGTCAATTATGACCGCTAATCATATAAGGATTAAAGAAATTTTAACATCTTTGCCATTCAAGTCAACTCAGACAGCCAGTAGCCGAAAGTCTTTTGATATGTGAACCAAAATAAATAAATTATATCAGTCAGTATTATATAATAACTGATCAATTGTCTATATACAATGGAATTCATTTAAAAAAAACAAAGACCGAGGCTTTTTAAACTAATAAATGTCCAAATTGAAAAATACCTTTCGCGAGGAAGAAAATGCGATGTCGAATTAATGGCCGCCAGGAGTGAAAGAGGGCGAATGGCGGGATATAACTTCCCAGTCCCCCACCTACAGATAATTATTTGTACAATTCTTTCACAAATTAATTTAAACAATGGAAAATGTTTAAAAATAATGTAAACTGATTACTGTAAGTAAGTTTATTTTAATTACGCCCAATTCTTTTAAAAATTTAATAATAATTGATTACTTTCAGGAGATTGTTGACCAAGCTGGCAGTGAGCTGATAAGCCGACGATTCCTTGTTTAGAATTTGTATAATTATTTCATTTAAAAAATAAATAATTAATTCTTATATATTCGTCAATTTTTTTGCTATAATTTTTGAAAAGGATTTTGGGGAATCTAATATTTTTTATTTACACGGAATGCTCCTTGAATCACCAGCAGTTTCCCGCCATTCTCATGGCCGATTCTGGTTGCAACTTGGGTCAAGCGCGACTTCTTTCACGGTAAGCTTTTATTTTGAAATATTACATATAATTTTATCTTAATAAAAGCTGCTTTCTCTGTCAAATCAAAGAGATATTGTTAAAGAATTTTTTTATAAATCGCCGGTTTCAAATATTGATTTATTGGATGTACTAGTGCAACACAGCAATCGGTATAAGCTTTTCGGATCACCTGGGTGACTTTGGTTAAATTTCCTAATGAATTAAATTCCTAAAGAATCCTAAAGCTAAGCAAATGCCTATTCACTTCTCACAGTCCACTGGCAGGCTCGAGAATCACCAACCCTGGAGGCAGACCTTACACTTATCTGTCCAGCCATTGACGTTGGGATCTGGAGGGGGGTGCTGCCAACAGCTACGTCAATTCAGCACCGAATGTACACCGTTCCAAACCCTTTTCGAAATCACATTCATTCTTAAATAAATTCACTCCTATTTACATAACACACATTCAAATGGGGCGATGGAGTACTCGATATCACTTACCACATACTTTAACATATTATACAACTAACCTAATTGAAGGTAGATGGGGGACTTGATATTATACCATTGAACCTCTCACACCACACGTTCACATTAATAAATACTTCAATTAATTATTCTTTTTATGTAAGGTCTGGGTTGAGTTGAAAAAGTTAGTGTCACGAGCAAGATTCGAACCCACAACCTTCGGCTCAATATGCTGCTGCTCTAACCACTTGAGCTATAGTGACACTACAGTGGTTAGATGAAGGTCGTGAGTTTGAATCCCGCTTATGACACTAACTTTTTCATTTCAACCATGCCTTTACATATAAAGAATAATTAATTGAAATGAGTAACTTGGTCAATTAGACCACTAAACATAAATGGATTAATAAATACATTCACTCTCAACAGAAACTAGGTGTACATAACTATTATTACTGTACAAACTGTTAAAAAATGAATAGGAATATTTGTAATTTATTCTTATTCCATTAATTTTAACTAAATTAACCAATATATTATTTTTAGTTGGATAAAACAAAATAGAAAATACAAACAGAAAACAATCAAATGTTAATTCTTATTTTTAATGATGGATTTACTTAAGAATAGTAGACACTAGACATGAAGATTACTCGTTTTGTAAATGAACACCTTTTCTCATCTTTTATCCATTTTAATCCAGTTGTATTCTCTTTAACTGTGGAAAGACATTTTGAAACAGAATTTCTCAGTATTATTGTGAGAATGAGGCATAGAGGCAAGTGGATATCACAGAGGCATCGGCATTTTTCAGAACGTAGTCTCCTGGGCTTAAGCCCAATTCCAAGAGACTGGTAGGAGGTCTGGTATTGGATTTCAGCGAATTACAATGTTAAAAGTGGATAGAAATATTGTCATTTCTATAAGAATGGAACCCTTTCCATAGTGCCCGCAAGATTGTAAATGTTTTAGCTACGGCCTTTATCAACACAAACAATTCGTAATCATTTGTGGGGAAGTTGGCCTCAAATCGTATGCCTCTTTGAGACGACCTGCAGCAACAGCTTGCCACTAGCCGTGCAGCAAGCACCTAGAAGATAATGCCAATTGAAATGCTGTTATGTTTACTGACGTCGCATTTCTGTCTGTATAGTGATAGCAGGCACTGAAGAGTCTATGAGAACAGGGGGTGTGTACAATCAGTTCATGCAGTTTGTGGTGTAATGATCGGGGCTGGGATTTACACTGGATTACGAACTTTTCTCCATACTGTCGACCTCACCCCAGTCCGATATGTCCAAGAAATTATCAAGGAATATATCCCTCAAACGAGGGATTTTCTATTTCTGGATGACAATGCCAGCTCTCATAGCGGCTGAATTTTTCATTAGTTTAGAAAGCCCATTTTTGTGCAGGTTACTATAGAACAATCCCGTTTCCTCCAAGAATTGGAACATGGGACCCAAATACTCACTGATGTCCTCAAGCACAATTCTCAAATTGGGTAGTACTTCTGCATGCTCTACGCACCCTTCAATTAGATGGAACATTTCAAACAACCTTCCTCTGCAAGCCAGATACATATGCTGGCATTGGTTCAAAAGTGTCCATGTGTCCACCTTAAACGGATGAGGATGACCCATCTAGGAGTCAGATCCTCTGAGGGGTGTCCCGGCCTTCACTGAAAGAAGTTTCTTTTTTTAGTTTCGGTTGGTTTTTCTTTATTAAATTATGATTTTTTTAATTATTATAGCTCGTTTTAATGTTTTCATTTATAATAGAATGACAGTAGTTTATAGAAGCTCTCCATTCAAACAAGGAAGTTCAAACAGTAAATTGTAAACATTTATTTAAATTTAAAAAAATAACAATAATAAAATTTTTTTATCTCAATTCTAATCGACAGCCCTAAGGAAAAAAAAGAAAAGCTATAAATTTTCAATAAATTATCTATTATTCTATTATAAAAATTGTTATTTACAATAAAATTAAGTAGAGCATCTCACAGTTTTTTTTTCTTTGACAAAACAACCAAACAAAACTTTACACAAATATTAAAAAATAAACAATTATTAATGAATAAATAACGATTTTTTGTTGTTGCTCATTTAATAAACCTATTTACAAAAATATATGTCACTTCTATATATATTGACAATTTGTTCTTTTCATTTTTTGTTTTATAAAAAAATATCACAACAAAAACATAAAATTTAAAAAAAAAAATTGTTTTTCCCTTCCACCGATTCAATTTCGCTCTGGATATGGTTTTTTTTAAAAATTATATCATTATATCAGATACAATTCAATATGTAAAATTTTGTTTATTCATTTTATTTACTTAATGGTGATATTTCATTAAACAAAGTACGATATTTTGCTGTTGTTGTTGGTATAACTTGGAAAACCGTTGGCAAGTCCATTGTGGTTCTTGACCGGTGACATGGTGATGTTGTTTATGGTCGAAGGAAGGAGTGGGTGAGACTTTTCCACTTTCCTCGCATCCAGTTTTGCTTTGTTGTATGCTAAGACGCCGAGTACGGCAAGCGTCATGCCAAGAACATTCGCTGAGGTGACTGGGTTGCCCAGCATAATAAGCGACGCCGCAATCACGAAGAGACGTTTGGACGCTGATGCGACACCATATGTCAACGGGCTCACCATAGACATGACAGAAAAGGCGAGTATGTTCTGGAGCCAGTTGAGAAAGCCGTCCGTGAGGAGGAGCGGCAACACCTGCCCCCTTCGGAGCAGTGCGGTCTCATTCATCAAATGGCCCAGGTCGAACGACAGCCAGAAAGGGATGAAGAGGAAGAAAGACAAACGGCCCAGGATCTGGAGCAGGCGCAGATGATGCACACCCGTATCATGAAGGACCTACAATCCATCTGACATTAATTTTCATTTTGTTTACTTTAAAATCATTCAATACCTTCTTGGAGAATATATTTTGTAAAGAATACTGCAAAGTGGCGGCCAGCGCGCTCAGCAGGCCTAACAGGTCGAAGCTGAGTTCGGTCATCGTCGCAATGATCACACCCAGCACTATTGGCACAAGCGATAAATAAACCTGAAACAAAAACAAAAATTACAGCTACAGACAATCCAATACAAAACTATAATTTTCCTCCTGAAAGAATTATTTTGCTTTCCATTTTGAGAAATGTATAACCTGCTGAGGACTATCAGCAACATTGCTACCACCCAGGGATGCAACTATGCTGATTACGTTGGAAACATTGCACCTCTAAACAGCAAAACATTACAGGATATTATGACGATATTAAGCATCGTTCTAACACCTCCATGACAGGAGTATTCGGTCCTGCAACCAAATACTCACAACCCATGGGAAAATACACCAGTATCTTCCAAGCTGAGGGCCATGCAATCAAGAAGATTTACCCAATTAAATAAAGAATATAGATATGATGTCAGATAGTCAAGCAGCCATCAATGTGCTAAGTTCAAACACAATTAGCTCTAATGATGATGCTGAATTGCAAAACCAAACTAAACAAATTAGGTATGCAAAACAAAATCAGCTTCTATTGGGCCCCAGAACATGAGATTAGAAGGCAATGAGAAGGCCCTTGGAAGAAAAGCTGTACCACTGATAGGACCTGAGCTTTTCTGTGGCATAGGAATGAGCATCTCAGACATAAGGCAAAAAGAAAATGTGGGACATGGAACTCACTCATTGGACACAAGCAATGCAAGAACTTAGCTATCAGGATTCTTAAAAGGACAATTCAAGCTAAACGGAAATCTGAAGAAGACTTGCATAACCCAACATGGCACGTATTTTTAAAAGTTTTAAATGCCCTCATTGATGATTTACATTGTGAAGATTTTAAATCAAAATGAATTAAGCGGTTTGGCCTCACTATAGGCGACAAAAATAAATACTTTCCGTAAAATTAACAACTATTGGGTTGTCCGGAAAATAATGCAGGATTTTGGTATTAAACAAAACAAAAGAAACTAGTTACTTTAAAGCAATGTTCTTTAATCAAAATAATTTCCCATACTCTCAATACATTTCTCCCAACGTGTTGGTAACTTATTAATTCCNAATGAGTAATCCTGTAAACGTAAACAGAATATTTTATATAGATTTTTTTTAATGAAAACTTAAAATCCTGCATTATTTTCCGGACAACCCAATAAATCAAAATTTCAAAGTGTGAAATGTGCAGTATTTAGTGACCATTAATTAATGATTATCTAGAGATCGTGAGATGTGGCTTGGTGAGATGTAGGGTTAGAAAAACATTTACAAAATCAATTGTATAGATTGTCCGACAACTTACATCAGAATGACATCCCAATATCTGGATAAGAGAGTAAAACAACAAACCTACGATGGCAAAAAAACCAAACAAAATCCTATAGCACTGGCTACATTTTGAACACCAACACAATTTTGATTTCAACAAACCAAAAACATTAAACACAGAACAAAATAAACATAAATGTAACTTTTTAGAAATTGTTTACATCAACTGAGATAAAACGCAGCATCAATTACAGAATAGCACATGTAAACTCAGCAGCAGCTATGCTAATATTACAAAACAAATTTGATATTAATAACACACATATAACACACAAAACATATAATACAACATATAAAGCAATTGTATCTATTTCACTTGTGATTAAAAAAAGAATTCCACACATCCTCTAAGGCTGGACCCCACATGCCACACCGCGTGATGGCCGTCTGTCTGGTGTCACACGGAGAGCGATTAGAACAATGGAAGTGAGTCGACTAGTCCTCACCTACACATCGCACTATGCCCGACTAGTTTGGCTTAGTTTTTGACGGATATGGATCTTGTGAGCTACAGTGAAGTTTATTTTATTTATTTTTTTGTAATATTGCATTTATTTTTCTATTCGCTATTGTCTTTTTATAATCTTAAAACAATTTTATAATTTTTTAAAAATAATTTTATATAAAACTTTGTCTCATCGCGCTTTATATGTGGAAGCAGCGAGTAAAATTCCCCTTCAACACATCTTTCTTTCCATTCATCGTGAACCAACATTCTTCTCCTTCTGCTATGATTTCTTTGCCAACTAACCTCTTCCTCTAAAGCAAGTGGCTATCATCCCTAATTCACTATTTTTAAAACTTCTTAACATTTTTTCTCAACGAAACGATGTAGCTTTGAAGCCGATGAACAACTTAGTGTATTGTCCAACACGGTGGGTTCACTGTGCAGTCATGTGAGGTCCAGCCTTAAATCGTCATGGCTCAGTGTTCTAATAACAGCCATATTATCCAATATTCTTATAATATTAATAATTATCTAATATTCTTATAATACTATCTAATATTCTTGAACTATAATTCATGAATTCACTTGATGTTAAGATTCAAGACACTCCACACATCAAACAATTCTACATAGTCTAAATCTTCAACAATTTATCATTCCTTTCCCTAATAATCCTATCTTTAATAATAAAAAGCTAACTAGGCCTGAACAACAAACATTACCCTTTTTTCTCCACTGTAAGTCCCTTTCACCTCAAAGGAAATTAATTTCTATCCCTACTTCATTTTTCAAATGTCATGTAATCAGGATTCGATTCTCAGGTACTTCTGAAGTGGCCACGGGGAGGTATTAATGAAGTAATTACTTCTATTAATTATTAAATTAACCTATATTTGCTTAGTGGTCATAATTGACCATATTAATCATTTAAATTAATTATTCTTTTCATCTAAGGTTTTTGGCTGAAATTAAAAAATGGCAAAAAGAGGGAAAATTCAAACAATTGTAGGTTGAAATGGGAAGTGTCCGAGGGGATTGAAGTCACGATAGCACAAGTGGTTAGAGCAGTGGCATATTGAGCATAAGGCCGTGGATTCGAATCCTGCTCGTGACACTAATTTTTCATCTCAGCCAAAAACCTTAGACGAAAAGAATAATTAATTGCGATAAAGATTGTTTTTCTAAACCTACATCACACCAGACTGCATTTCACAATCTCTAAACAATAAAACCATTAATATCTCACTAACTCAACACAACACACAACTGTGATAAATTTACACAGGAAACACACTTTGAGTGAGTACAAGTATTTGATTAAAACTAACATTTCTATATTGTGTACATCTTTGGATAAATTCATATTCACATCTTACATATAATTTGAACAATGTTTATAAATCCCAGGGCCTGAAGATGATCTCAATAGATCGAATGGCATGATAATAAAGAAAATATTTTTTTTTAACCCTCATCACACCAGACGTTTTTTGTGCAGCAGTGTATTTTTAATTTTTTTTTTTTTTTTTTTAATTCTCTGTGGTAAAACTGGCAAAGAAGGAATGAAAATTTGTTTATACATATTAATTTTGACATATGGAGGCTATCTAAAAATAAGGTTATAACCTAAAAGCAACCTATTCAGGCGTAACCCTCCTTACCATATTGAACGGTGAAACAGATTTGAGGGGGAAAAACTTTTTAAAAGAAATAATACTGTTATTATTTTACCTTAAGAGTGTGTTTTTCGCCGAGAATAATCCTGGACAGGACGACGGTGAAGAGCGGCATGGTCGCTTTGACTGAAAAAAACAATCATGAGGGAAAAACTGTGTCAAGGGGATTGACTTCGGTTGCGATCTGACAACTCCAATACCTGTATGAGCGTACGACACCGGCACCTTCCAGATGCTGACGTGCGTGAAGACGGACGCGACGAACTTTCCCAACGCCAGGGGTACGAGGAACTTGAAGTAGAACTTCCAACTGAAACTTGAAGCCCGCCTTACTCCCCATAGGTTGAAGAACGGGCCCGAGTAGAGAGTGATAGAGAGGAGTTGGACCATTGTCACCGTCATCGGATACGGGAAGTCGTTTAGGAGCATCTTACCGACGACGTTGTTGCTGCTGCTCACTACGTACCAGCATAGGCAGAGCGAAACGACGGTCAACAACTCTCTCCGATCTTTTGAGTCAGCCATGCTGGCAGCGACTGACACGAGAGGCTCCGACAACGGCGGAAGATCGATCTGCTATCGGATGGCCAAGGCTGCCAACATAATACAACAAAATAATAAAGGCATTTTATAATCCAATAATATACAATTAAATTACAGCTACTAAATAAGTAATAAGTTATGGCAGGGAAAATTCCGTCTGATGGAGGTGAATGGTGAAGCACACACACACTGCTGGAGGGGGGATGGTGACGCTATATTTCACCATCACCCTTCACCACTCACACTAATAAATAAACGCATTAAATAGTTTGGCTTATTAAGTAGCTTTTATATAAACATTAGGGCAAACCCAGAACACCTGCTTAATCAAATAAAAACTGATCCCAACATTAAATTCATTAAATTATTCTATGAAAACCACCCTAAACTGCCTACACCATATATATATATATCGACGTCTTTCACAATCCGAGGTAGATCCAGATCAAACCCGAAAAATAACTCAGTCCCCAACCCCTCCCTGGCTACTTCCATAAGTTAAATTCGATTTTTCTCTTACAAGTAAGCGAAAACAGGAAACAAACCCTCAGAGTCCAAACAAAATTCCTTGAACTAAACCAATCTAACGATGATGCTTTAATCATATACACTGATGGTTCCAAAAAATCACATATGGTAAGTTGTTCTTATGTAATTGAGGGTCACTCTTCTATTTTTCCTCTACGCTCACTTTTCAGTCCATAAAATGCAGAAATATTTGCCATTTTAAATGCTTTAGATGATCCCCCATTACCATAAAATAATTATATTTTCTGATTCTTTATAGTGCACTTCAAGCAATTCAGAACCCGCACTCCAAAAATCCATTATTTCAGAACAATTGGCCAAATTAAAAAAAAATCTGAAGGTTCTTCTGTTTCTTTCTATTGGATACCAAGTAATGTCAGGATTAAGGGAAATGAGCTAGATGACGCATTAAAAGCTGCACAGAACAATCCCATAATCTCAGTTTTAATAAATCCTGAAGATATAAAGTCTGCTTTCAAACTTAAAATTATTAAATTCACTAATTTCGTGGTCGGCTTGACCAATTAATGAATTATAATTAATTAAGGTTTTTAGTTGAGATAAAAAAGTCAATGGCACGAGCGGGATTCGAACCCCCCCCCCATTGAAAGATGGCAAAAAGGAGGGAAAATTCAACAGGTGCGGTTTTTATTTTTTTATGTTTTAGGCGATTTTTAGATATTTATATATTAAATGATAATCATAAACAGCAATTTTCTTCTTTTTTAAATTTTTTATTACTTGAAGGGTTCTTTTTTAAAATTAGTTTTTTAATTTTTTCTTTAAACTTATTAATTATTAATGCGAATAATAATTTTACATTATTTTTAATAAATAAAATAAATTATTTAAATGTAATATATTTTTTTAGGACAACTTCACAGGAGACAAGCCTGTAGGATAACCTTTTTAAAACCTCTACCCCATTTCTGTTGATAAGTCTTCCTGTCGAGATTGTTGAAAGTCGTAATTTTTTATTAAACAAATTTTGAATTATTTTAACATTTTCAATTATACGAATAAATACAAATTAAACGGAAGTTTGTGGGGTTGAAAACAGGTCGAAGTGGCGATTGGAAATGATCGTTTGGCTGGTTGTGCTCGTCCTGGTGGGCAGGGCGACGTCGGATGTTCGGTCGACAAACCTCTGCGTCCTCAATGACGTCAAAAATGCCGAAAAGATGAAAATGATGAACGAAATCAACCTGCTCAACAACGAAAGGTGAAATATTTATTTATTATTTTTTTTTTAAATATAATCTTCTCATTTTTATAGGTTTGTCGTAACATCAAATGATTACACATACGTTGTCACTATGTGCAACTCTGCTTCAAAGGAGGCGGAAGGTAACGCTAATGTTATAAGGACAAAGGTTCCGGAGCATAACGTCACCGTACTTGGCCGGTACAACAACACAGACATCGTCGGAAGGGGTGAGTGCTTGAAATACACCCAACTATAAACATGTTTACCCATGCATATATATTTTTCTTTTACAGACGAATGGCGCATAATGACCTTCGCAGATGGTGATGTGATCCGCGAAAGCTCAACGTGCAACGGTACTAAGTGGAAAACGCTTGTCATACTCACGTGCGACCCTGACGTCTCAATGGTAACTTCTCCCGTACTCTGCACATTTAATGTTTATTTATTAATTTTTTTGGCGTTTTGTACAGCTTGAACTGATTGACCCATTAAACGTCGGCTGCGTCTCCATCTTCCTTCTCAAGACAAGCATTGTCTGCCATCCTTCTCAGAGCGTCGGAGTTATCATATTTTATCTGTTAGATTTTATACCTTTTTATCAAGTTAGCATGATCTTTGTTTTGTTATCAGTTGAACTACACTAATTCAGCGAGAAATCATCAAATAACCTTATATTAGATAAGAAAATAATGATATCATCATAATGATTATTCTGTTGTCTGTTAGTATGCATGTATGTTGTGAGTCGTTTTGAACTGTCCTTATGACATAACAATGAAACAAGCTAATCATGATGATTACTCTTATATCAGACAAGAAAATAATCATATCTTGATGATTATTCTACTAGATACGAATGTGTATGTATATATATANTATATATTTACATGACAAATCAAGTGTGATGATGATTATCATGTAGTCTTTTAACTCTAGTTTTTAATTTTTTTTTTTTTTTTCAGAGTTCTGGTTTTAATATTGTGCTATTTCCTTATCGGGATGGCTTACAAACGATTTGTGACGGGCGCCAAAGGTCTTGAGCAGATACCAAACTACAACTTTTGGCGGGACCCCACCGCCTGGGCACAGGTGAGATTGTATCTATTTAAATTACGATAATATTTTTCCTGTTTGATTTTTTTTTCAGGATTTAATCGGGAAGCAGGAAAGGCGCAGCGAGCCATGGCAGCGTGTCAGCGCCGACGCAGCTGATGAGCCTCTCCTCCACCCATAGCCCGCGGCCCAGCAGGCCTAGGAGGAGGAGCCCGAGGGGGAGACGGCGGTTCTACCTGTCAGTTCAACATGCATCGAAGTAAACAGGGCACAGCTTCAGAACCGGTTCACGACCGTCTTCCTCAACTAACCAATCCCCGAAAGGCGGAAAAAAAATCTATGTTCGTTAAAAAGTCTAGTCTCCGCCTTTAAACCAAAAAAATATCGAGAAATAATAGAAAGTTGAGGGAAGGGTAAACAAGTTATTTTTTATAAAATTTTCAAGATTTTTGAAGTAAATCAGAAATTTGCCTAAAATCTGAAGTTTAGCCAATTTTTGGAACTTTTTAAGTGTAATTTTCCCCTTGAAACGTTACCAAAGCGTCCAGATTAAAAATAAAAATAATAATATTTTTATAAATGACTTAGTGGGAGTATAAACAATATAGCGTACCGTTGGCGATGTTTTTGCTTAGAAAAACAAACCTAACACATCGGCATTTTTATTATTATTGTTTCTGTGTCATAATGTGTATAAATACATGAGTCATTATATTAAGTAGTTGCTTCATTTATTTATTTATTTATTTTATTTTTTGTTTTGTACAGGTGTAAAATTATTCGATGTGTGTTTTTGGTTTGTATGTTGCTCTGTTTGGGCCACTGCCTCCATGATTGGGAGGGGTTGGAAAATATTTAAAAAATCGGACAATAGAATAGAATTTAAATAAAAAAATTGTCATTTGTAAAAAAAAAAAAATGTAGATAAATTGAATAAAAGTTTTAAAGTTTTTACATATTTCCTTGCTGAAACCTGGCCAACATGTTGTTTTTGTGCCTTGGCTCAGTTAAATTTTATTTTTACCTTTTTTATTTAAATTGCAAGTTCAACTTGCCAAGTTGTATGTGTTTTTTTATTGTAATAATTTTTCATAAATTAAGAGCATTTGTTATATTATTAGTCGACTCCACGGAGAAGTAAGGGTCAAGGAAATCGACCAATGAAAATGACATTGAGGTTTCAATATGGTTATCTATTCAAATATGTCTCCTGGGAAGTGGTCTTCCAAAGAAACACTTAATATTGTATAATATATAACTTAATTAATTGACTGAAGATTGAAGAAAAATACAGTTGACAATAAAGAAACTAAGTAAGTGCAAAAAATACAGTAATTTTCACAAACATAACCTCTACTAAGAATTACAGTTTTTGATCCAACAAACAAAAATTAAAAGTCGACTAAACAAAAACTGATAAAGAAAACATTTATGAAATACTAACCTTAGCTGGACCATCATCTTCATTAGTCTTCTGAAAATCAGTGCACCCAGGTGCTCGAAAATTTCTGCCTGAGTACAATATATTGACACTTCTTATTTACTTGAGTGGTTCGGCCAATCGCCCTTTCGATGTTCGAATTAAATATTTAGGGTGACAATGGGATTGAATCTCTCACGGGCAATTTCTGAACCTGCATCTTTGCAGGTCATTTTTGTCGGGGCCTTTTCCACCATATCATTAATTACCGAATCCCTGCAACCCTAGAAACACCGTGAATACACTCACAAGAGTTGCTCACAAATCATTCATTAATCAACTCACCTGAGTCGCTCTCTCAGGTGTCACCCTCACCCATTCTTTAATCCACTCACAAATCACTCATTCTGCTCACATGGGTCACCATCAAATCACACATCACTTGCCTGAATTTATTAATCCACTCAATAATCTATTCTCATTAGTCACTCAATAATTGACTCACTCATCCACATAATTAAGTCATTCATTAACATGACCGCTCACTCTTCGACTTTCTTTCTCGTCCACTGTGACGTGTCATTCATCCATCCTTACAAATGAATCACTAATCCACTCACTCACTGACCATTAGCCCATCCACCCTTACGAGTCACTCTCTTGTCTACTTTATTAGCTCATTCATAACACGACCGCTCACACATCAACTTCATATCTCGTCCACTGAGACATTGTCACTCATCCACCCTTACAAATTATTCACTAATGAGTCACTCATTCATTCATATATAGGTATATACAAGTTCACTCATTAACCATCAGCTCACTACTCTGATTTGTCACTCACTAATCCATTCATATGAGCCGTTCACTTATCACTCACATTAGTCACATCTTTTATTAGCTCGTCCACTCACAATTCTTTGTTCGCGGTTAATGATCAGAGGGTTTAAATTACAAAAAATCTTTTATTGGTTAAAATACATGTTTATAAAAATTTTGCTCTTTAAGAGAATAGATATATAAAAAATATTGGAATATATGTAATTGCACTTATTTTCTTTTTCTCACTTATTTCTGTACAATCATGTATGTAATTTTTTAAAAAATTTTTTCTCTTTTCTTTGATAATGATAAATAAAAAATAATGTATATACAGTTGTAAAAAATTTTGTCACACCTGAGGTATCTTTGAATTGCAGTTCCCGTGATATATCTTAACGGTAGAATCGCACCTCGCAAACGTGTCGAATGTCTCCTGGTAGCCGTGGTCCTTCCACCACTCACAAAGCTGCCGGTTCCATCCGCAGTCGAGCCTATGTATGAGGGACGGGTGCTCGAAGGTGAGCAGGCTGTAAAAGTCCTGGTCGCCCAGGTGGCCCTAAATGAAAATTAAAGAAATTTTTTTAGTTAAAAAAAAAATAATAAAAGGAGTTGTAGACCTTGAATATGTATTTGCTGGCTAGGCGGTTGACTTCGTGCTCTTCAAGGACATGCTGGTACAACGTAGAACGCCGCATCTTCTCAAGGTCGAGGAGCAACACGCCCGAGTTGATTCCGGGTAGGCCGCCTTTCGAATGGGCTGCGCCGAACCTGGTCGTGTTGTTTCGACTACGGTACAGGTAGAGTATGTGGTGGTAAACTGGCGTCAACTCTGGAGCAGCTCCGATCACCGATTCGTTTGAAAACCTTGAAATTGTAATCGTACATATATTTTTTTTTAAATACAAAAACCTGACATTATTACTTATCGAATTCGTCAAAAAGCTCTGTTATGTCTGTCTTAATGAATGTATCGACGTCGAGCATGACAACTTGTGACTGAAAGATGAACTTATGCAGGCCAATAGAAAGGAAAAAAAGCGATGCGCTGTAATACGCGCCCGGCTGGGAGCTGAAATGTTTCTGCATCACCTTGATTATGCTTTCCATTTTGTTTGTCAGTACGTGGACTTCATGGTACACTACCTTTTTTTATATAAAGTAAATTGATCAATTAAAAACAAATATATACATATATATGTAAATATATAAATACGAAACAACCTTGAGATATTTCCCAGTGTTATTTTTAGCTGCGTCGACTATGTCTTTGGCGATGTACCGGCTTGAAGCGTCAACAACAAGGTTGAGCGACAAAACAGCACCGGTCGTACGCAATAGCGAGTCTAGCATGCGTTCAAACTTGCTCTTTATCGTCGGATGGCCCTGCTTCACCCTGGTGAATATGCACCAGACGTTGTAGTCACGCGTGCTGGCTCGTTGGCGTTCAGGATGAGGCGTTTCCCCTCTGTCAAAGCTAAGGAGGATCACGACCGTTGTGAAGACGAGAAGGACGACCAGGGTCTTGTGGATATTACGCATCAGGGCTCTCGCACATCTGCAGTACAAGTAAGTAAATATTTTTCTACAAAGCGCAAACACAAAACTAATTTACCTGAGTAAACTTTAATCGCCGAATCTTTCAACCATCACGATAAATATTTTCCCTTCAAGAAAACCAATAGAAATAAATTAAAGTTCAATCACAAGTAAAATATTGAACTTACCTTCCAACTTGACATTTAGAGCATTCATTAAAAAAATCAGATAAATTCACTCATTAAATCATATTTTCAACACTTTCTTTTTCAATTTTTTTTTTTTAAATCTTGTAAATATTATTTAAACTTAATTTCCCCCCTGGACTTAGAATGTTCAAAAAGTGTAAACAAAGCACAGTAACAAGACGCGATACGGCGAGGAGGTTAAAACACTGTTATACAACACATCTCTTCGCTTCACATAAGATACCATACGTCAAACACAAAAGTAACCCCTGAAAACGGAAAATTTTTAAAACAAAAGATCAATGTCTTTAATAATATGTTTATTAAAGTTAAAATTAAAAGTTTCTCACGTCTGGGGGAATTTTGGATTTGTATCGAATTTGTTGACAATCGATTCTCACCCCCAATTTGATTTTCTAATACGGCGGCCATTAATAAAATATTATCGATATAATCGATATTGTTAAAACGGATTCGATTATCCTGGCCCAGTATACATAGTATAGAGGTATATTTTACGCGTAGCAACAAGTCACTTATGATTTGTCACATGGTCGTATGTCTTGTTCTTATCTCCTTACAGTTTTGTATCCTGGTTTCTGCTACATGTTCTACTGGTCCTGTACCTTATTCGTTTTATTGTTAATCTTTTTTAATGTTGTTTTACTCTATTTTTTAGGAATTGTACGGTCTTTCGCACGTACTCTTTTCCACAGTCACATTTTATGCAATACACGTGTATTCTATACCAAAACTACATATGCTATTAATGTATACTACATCGCCAACATTATATCTTAGTTCTTTTAATGTTGGCAGGTGTGGTGATATTTTGTTTTTTAGATAGCAATAGAATTTACAGTATACCATTATGTATGTGGCCAATAGATTAAATTGAGTATAGATTCTTACATTTTCGTTTCTAATTTGGCGGCCTTTGATAATGAAAAAGTCGATATTTGTATAATGAATCGATTCTTGCATTTTCATTTCTAATATGGCTGCAATTGTTAGTGAAAAATATAGATGTATCTAATAATGGTAAAAATCGATGTTTGTATTATGAATCGATTCTTGGGCATCGATTCCGTTGAGTATCGATTCTCACGGCATTTTCATTTCTAATATGGCGGCCATTGTTAGTGAAAAATATCGATATAACTAATAATGAAAAAATCGATATTTTTTATTATGAATCAATTTTAAATTATCGATTGTTCTGCTTAAATTAATGTTAGGATTCATTCTTGACCGCCGATTCAGTTGAGAATTGTGTTGAGCCCCCCCAATTAGATTTCCAATATAGCGGCCATCGATTAAGCCGTTGATATATCTGATTCGGCCGAGAATCGATTCTTGACCATTGTGAAGTTCGATAATCGACCGCTTGCCATCGATTTTGTGCGCAATGGTTTACTTGCATTTTCAACTTACCTTTGTTTAACCTCATACGAGTTTTTGCCCTTTTCTTCACCCACCTACAAATTCAATACGGGTTGAGAATATCAAAGATGAAAGTGTGTTTTAACTTTGAACAATTCAAAGTGCATTTATTTGGAACATAGATATATATATATTTTCATATTGTAAATACATTTACGTTCTTTTTTTTCCATAGAAAGAAATAACCCTCGTCTCGCACCTATTCGTCTAAGACAATAAAAATAGGTTTTGTAACAATTGCTCATAATACAAGAAATTTTTTATTATTTTTTTGTGTTTATTTTTAGTTTTGATGATGAGGCATCGATAAATAAAAAGGGGGAATATGAACGTAAAATTCAATCACCCAGTTCCATTTCTTGAAACGTTAGGCCTTTCAAAAATTCATGATAAAATTACAAATTCAATAAAAACAAAATAATTTAATTACCTAATTCAGTAAAGAAAGGAAAAAAAAGGACCGGAGGTTGTATTCTTCGGAATAATAATAATAAGAAGAAAACGTGCGATAACAACACACGAGAGGGCGAACGGAAAAACAGAGAGAAAAATATTTTCACACACGATTCCATCTAGGTGGGAGAGTGTCGGGATTTTCGGATTAGATTTTTTTTTTTCAAAACTTCAGTATTCTTTGTAATTTTTAATTTTGCCTAATTTATTACTCCGGAGGTAACGAGAGTGTAAAGTAGGAAAGAAATTTCCTCGGTGCAGTTTGAGGTAGGTTCGTTTTGCTCTCAGCACTAATGCCCTGAACAACAATTTCGGCGCCAAACGCATCTTCGTCTGACCTCATTGAGATATTTTAGCTTTTTGATCAGTTTTATCTAACCTTATCCACCTAGATAACCGTCCATCTTGCTAATTTTTGTGCAAAGAGCTGAGCTACTTCGCTTAACCTCTTTGAGATAAATTTGCCTATCTTATCATTTTCGTCCAACCTTATCCACCTAGAGAAACTTCCGCCATGGCAATTTCGGTGCCAAACACTGATTCGGTTAACACCATTAAGACAATTTTAGCTATATGATCTTTTTTTCTAACCTTAACCACCTAGAGAACCTTCCGCCATGGTAATTTTGGCGCCAAACTCATCTTCATTTAACCTCATTGAAATAATTTTGCGTATATGATCATTTTCGTTTCAATTTTCCGCCACGAAGAACACTTTCGGCGCCAAATGCATTTTCGTCTAACCTCATCTAGGGAAATTTCTCCGCAATGAACAACACTTTCGTCGCCAAATACATTTTCATCTAACCTCATCTAGGGAAATTTTTCCACCATGAACAACACTTTCGGCGCCAAATGCATTTTCGTCTAACCTCATCTAGAGTACTTTTTCCGCTACGAACAACACTTTTGGCGCCAAATGCATTTTCGTTTAACTTCATCTAGACAACCTTTTCCGCCATGAACAACACTCGGCGCCAAATGCATTTTCGTCTAACCTCGTCTTGAGAACTTTTTCCGCTACGAACAACACTTTTGGAGCCAATTACATTCTCGTCTAATCTTATCCACCTAAATAACCTTCCGCCATGATAATTTTGGCGCCAAACTCATCTTCATCTAACCTCATTGAAATAATTTTGCGTATATGATCATTTTCGTTTCAATTTTTCGCCACGAACAACACTTTCGGCGCCAAATGCATTCTCGTCTAACCTCATCTAGAGAACTTTTTCCGCTACGAACAACACTTTGGCGCCAAATGCATTCTCGTCAACCCTTATCCACCTAGAGAACCTTTCGCCTTGGTAAGTTTGACAACAAACACTTCTAACCTCATGTAGAGATCTTTTTCCGCCATGGCCAACATTTTCGGCTCCAAACACTTCTAAACACTTCTTCGTCACTCTTATTAATCTAGAGAACAGTTCGGCGATGGAGGAAGCATTTTCTCGCCTAACTTCTTCGCCTTAGGCCAACGGCGCGAAACTTTACTCCTGAGTTTCCTTTTCGATTTAAGAGAGATGCACTAAGTGATATCCGTGAGAGGAAATAAAATGTATCACTATTGGAAAATTTTTTCCTAACATTTTAAAAATTTGTCTTTAACAATATTAATTAACCTAGAAACTGAAATTGAGCCCCTCTCCAATACATTTTCGAAATGCCTTAGGTTTTTTTAATATATATTTTTAACTTTAGAACGAAAATTCATATTGAAGCTAAAAAATCAAAAAATGATTAATTTTATTTAGAGATTGTCCATCACTTGAGTGAGATAATGAAAATTGGAAAAACAACAATTTGTACTAACTACGAGGTAGTAAAACCGGTGGGGTTAATTTTTTTTAAAATTATTACCTTTATACACTTTTTTATCACAGTGGATTCCTTCGATATTTTTTATTTTTATAATCCTGTGTGAAAACGACTCAACCGAGTTTTGACCGATTCAGAAAGGCCCAAAAAAATCTATATCACATTCACCTAACCCCATGATAAATAAAATCTCACCCCGATAATTTAAAGAAATTTTTAAAAATCCTTCCGAATTTTTATTTAACATTCCAACCCCCTCTAATTCTATACTTTATTGCTTTTTGTTTGTTTCCAATTTTTCTCCTTAATAAACTTACAATTAACATTTAAACATTTTCATCCTGATTTTTTTTTTTTGTATATTATAAACTTTATATCATATATGTGTGGGTGTAAAAGTTATAAATCACATTATAATAACAGAAACTTAAGATTAAGATTGTTCTAGAAAAGAAATACAAAAATTTACAGTTTTACACATACACACGTACATACACGTGTATGTATATATTTAAACTATTTTGTGTGTGTTTGTACAATTTTCCATCTCTAAATTTTATTATATATATTTTTTCTTCCAATTTAATTTTTTTCTTATCTTAAAATTTATACACTTATTTCTCTGCATCTTCTGTTTACACAGTTTTTTGTTTTAATTTTAGAATTGTCTTAAGAATCCATCACATTTTTTCAAAAAATATACACTCGTCCGCTCGCTAGTGAAACCTTTATTTACACATTTTTTCGTTTTGAGTAAGAACTAAAATTCAAATCAAATTTTTCTCGGTGCTCTGAGTACAAATTAAAAAAAAATTCTGCCTAATTAATTTTATTCCTTTTAAAAAGACTTTTTTTGACAAAGCACAGAGAATTGCAACCTAGAGATTTTTTATTTATTTATTTTTTTAAATTTTCGGTCTTTATTTTTTTAACTTTTAAAATTTTCAACCTACGCTTTTTAAAAAAAATCATCTTAGACATACTGCAATCAGCAAGAGTGCCGTACTGAGGTGCGCCGCCGCTCCGCTGCTGCTCACTTCCACGCACTGGCCTGTAAAAAAAAAATAATATAAATATGTTGAAGTCGTGAGGAGCGGTAAAGAATGAGGTAGTTTAGAAATAATAATAATACTAATATAAAATAATAATAGTATGTTAAAAAAAATGTTTTTTACCTTGGCTTGTGATGTTGAAAGCGAGGATTCCCGTGAGGCCGGGTATCACAGTCCTGCTGCACGTGTCTGAGCTCGTCGAGAACCTGACGTAGTTCCACGAGGGGATTTGACCGGCCCCGTTGCCCACGGCCGACCTGTGATGGGCCGGACTGTAGACGAAGCAGTAGCGCTTCGAACCGTGCGACGATCGGCTCACAGGGGTCGTGATCACGAAGCCGGTACCGTTCTCCGACCAGCCGGCGTGGCATGTGTACGCTGACGTCAAAGGAATGGGTTATCAAGTGATTCTTTCGTTCGCGTAAGGGCTGAGTTGGTGAGATGGTCACTTAATGTCATAATAACAACTGTACGATTCATTAGTTTCATGGTTCACCGTTTCGTTCGTAGAGTAACTGATTAACTGTTCGCAAGACTCAGTCACTGAGTCGGTCACGTTCGTTAAATCACTGAGTCAACACTCGTTCGCTCAGTTGGTGAGTCAGTCACTTAGTCACTGTGTCGGTCACTCCTTCCCTCTAATCTATGAGTTGTTCGCTCATAAGATGAGAAGGCCACTCAGAAGGTCACTCTTCCTCAATGGGTGAGATGTTTGCTCATTTGATGAATAGTCATTTAGTCGGTGAATCGGTCACTCGTTCCCTCTAATCGATGAGTTGTTCGCTCATAAGATGAGTAGGACGCTCGTTTGGTGAGTGTAGGTCACTCAGTCTTCAATAGGTGAGTTGTTCGCTCATTTGGTGAGTAGGTCAGTCAGTCGGTCACTCGTTCCTCAATGGGTGAGTTGTTTGCTCATTTGATGAGTAAGTAACTCAATCTTCAATGGATGAATTGTTCGCACATTTGGTGAGAAGGTCACTCGTTCCTTAATGGGTGAGTTGTTCGCTCATTTGGCGAGTAGGTCGGTCATTTAGTGAGTAGGTCACCCAGTCCTCAATAGGTGAGTTATTCGCACATTTAGTGAGTAGGTCACTCAGTCGATGAGTCGGTTGTTCGTTTCCTCAAATCGATGAGTTAATTGCTCGTTGGATGAGTAGGTCACGCAGTGAGTCGACTACTCGTAGGCTCAGTAGAAAAGTCGTTACTTGATCAGTCAGTCATTCTTTCATTTCCAAATCGAGAGTCGTTCGCTAAATTGGTCAGTCGGTTACTCATTAGATCAGTTGGTTAATCGGTCACTCAGTCGGAAGGTAGGTCACTCGTTCGCTCAATGTTATATGTGATTCATTATGTCTATCGATCTGTCACTTTTTTATGTGTTCAGCCAATAACTGGTTCAATCATTAATTCCTTGGTCCACAAGTCACTGTTCGTTCGTTCAATCATTCTTTTGAAAATTCAAACCTCAGTATTGTCTTACCGGACACGATGCTCCTGACTGAGCCGTCGCACTCGGACCTCAGCTCCATCGTGTCTCTCCTCGTGCATGCCGAGTTGAGGGAGATGGCTTCCAGCGGGCAGTTGTCCAGGTCCCTCAGGCCTCCAGCACCCTGGTCGTCGCTCTCGACCTCCTCGGAGGCGGCGGCGCCACCCCCGGCCGCCCTCATCTCCCTCCTGTTTCCACTTTGCCTGAAAATCCCTGTGACCGAGTAACGCCCCGGGTGAGGGCAAGGCTTCAGGTCTGGGTTCGATGCTGCAAAAAAAAAATTTATTTAACAAATGGCGGTGCGTAAGGTTTTTCGTTATACTCACTGACTAACGTGAGGTATGGGACAACCGCTCGGTCGAAGTTGCTCTTGCTGCACGCCTCTTCTGCTCTCCTCGTGAAGCTACCTGATTGTACTTCGAGCACATGCTGGTCCCGTTTATAAAAAACCATACATACATAGCCGCTCTGGCTGTGGAATCACGAAGAAAAAAGATTATAAATTATATCGCTGTATAGACCATTGCTGAGTGTGCGAGTATACGAGTGTATGAGGAAGTGTGTTAAAAAAAATTATATATTTGATTAACGCGATTATTAATTTATTGTAATGATTAAATCGTAGAAATCGATACTTAATAATCAGCCATATTGGAATGCTATAAAATCGATTTGTAACAATTCGCAATATTGACCAGCGTATAACGATTCTTGATCATCTGCCATATTAGAATGTCATAATATCGATTCTACGCTATCCGCCATATAGGAATGCTATAATAACAATTATCAACTAGCGGCCTCATTTGCCAGCGATATATCGATTTCCTAATTATTCGCCATATTGGGACGCCACAATGTCGATCGTAAACCATCCGCCATATTGGACGGCCATAATATCGATTCTAAAATATTCGCTATATTATCAGCGATATATCGATTCTTGACCATCCGCCGTATTGGACACCATAATATCGATTCTAAAATATTTGCTATATTATCAGCGATATATCAATTATTGACCATCCGCCGTATTGGACACCATAATATCGATTCTTAACCATCGGCCATATTGGCCAGCGATATAACAATTATTGACCATCCGCCATAATATCGATTCTTGTCCAACCGCTATAACATCCATTCTCAAATATCGGCCTTATTTGTTAGCGATATATCGAATCTTGACCGGCCGCCATATTGGAACGCTATAATATCGATTCTAAAGCATCCGCCTCATTAGATCGCCATATTATTGATTCTTAACTATCTGCCTTATTGGAACGTCATAATATCCGTTCTTAACTATCTATCATGATATCGATTCTTAACTATCGGCCATATAGCCAGTGGTATATTGATTTTTGACCATCCGCCACATCGGAACGCCACAGTATAGATTCTAAACCATCCGCCATATTGGCCAGCGATATATCAATTATCCTATTATATTATATATCAATATCCGCCATAATATCGATTGTTGACCATCCGCCATAACATCGATTCTAAACTATAGGCCTTATTTGCCAGCGATATATCGATTCTTGACCATCCGCCGTATTGGGCACCATAATATCGATTCTTAACTATCGGCCATATGGCCAGCGATATATTGATTTTTGACCATCCGCCACAGTATTGATTCTAAACTATCCGCCTTATTTGCCAGCGATATTTCGATTTTTGACCATCCTCTATATAGGAACGCCTTAATATCAACTTTAAAACATCCGCAATATTGGACTGCCATAATATCGATTCTCAACCATCGGTGTTACCAGATTAGACCGCACAAACATCGATTCTGGACAATCGATTTGCACTAAATAGTTGATAATCCCAAACAATGTTTCCATCGATACTACATTGAGTACGAGAGAGAGCTCGACATTGAGTGATTTCGATTTGCCTCATTAACGTTTTAATGTTATACTGACCATCCGACCGTATAGTGTCCGACGATCTGCACATGGTCACCAGACGTCGACGCCGCAAGGGGTCCTTTCACCTCCGAGCACTGAACACGCGTCTCCTCCCTTCCTTCCGAATCGGCAATCCTCAACGTAGTGTTCCGATGCCTTAGGGAGTAGCTTCGCCTGTGGTCAAGAGTGTGCCACTGGCCCGGGGCTGACACCCAATTCGGGAATTTACACCTGCTCGGGCTGCTTGCTGTAACAAAATATATTCGTTTGTACTTTTTTTTAATGTGTATATGTGAATTACGAGTACCTTTGTAGAGGGTCATCGTCCTGCTTCCTTCCATCGGGCTGAAGAGTCCGTTGCAGGTTGCGTCCCCGCTCTGGGCCACCCTGTACGCCACTTCCCCGTCGCCGTCCCCTGTCCCGATCCCGTTCCCGACTATCGGGTACTTGTCGAACACGAAACACCTGTACCTGTCCTCGTTCGAGGTCGCGTGGCCGTGCTCGATCTTACCGACCAGGTACCGAGACGAGCCCTCTTTCCACATCGCGAGGCACTGGAGCTCCTCAACTGCAAAAGTAAGGGGCGGATTAAGGAGATTAAAACGGATTAAGAAATTAGATTATTACCGGCGCTTTCGCTTCCGTAGACGTCCGGGCAGGCTTGGTACCTCAGGAGAAGCCTGCTGTCTTGGGTGCACGGCTCCATCGTCGACGCCAACGTGTTGCACTCACCATGGCCTGAAATAAAACCAGAAACGTCACAAAAATTTTATGTACAAAATAACTGAAAAGAAAAAAAAACACAGCTCACCTCTGTTGTAGTGAAAGGTGTGGTATCCTGTGAATGGACAGGCGAGAGGCACTGCGTTCTGCCTGAACATCGAGTACAAGAGGGCATCGCCTGTTATTTGAGTGCATAGTGCCAGAGAATCAAGGTGAGAGCAGTAGGCTAAAAATACAAATACAAACCGTCAAAAACGCCAGAAATACGCCCTGAGGCCTGAAGTCGAGAGTTAACAGGTGAAAAAGGGGGGAAAAACTTTCTTTCGGAGGGGGTTGGGGTTTGGAAGGGAACGCGCGGCCGGCCAGATAAGGAGAAAGTTAACGGCACTTAAAACTTCCGGGAAGGATCTTTAATAATCTGTTGCTCAGAAATTGCCCTGAAATATGGAGTTTCCGTACTGCTTTTAAGGTTTCATGGGCCGGGGAGAGGGGGTCGAATTCAACCACCCGTTATGAGGGATGATCTTTTGTGGATCCTGGTTTCATTCAACTACACCAACAGTCATTCTGTTCACACACCCACATATTCATTCCTTCAGGTATTCACTCGCTCCATCACCGAGTCAGTCCGTCACACTCTCACAGATTCATTCGCGTACTCATTCATTCACTCTCTCATTCAGAAAATCAGTCGGTGACACACTCATATATTCAATCCTTCAGGCATTCACTCGCCTTTCCACTAAGCAGCACTGAGAAGGTCAGTCACTCACATATTCATTCCTTCAGGTATGCACTCGCTCTTTCACTAAAACATTCGGTCACACACTCACAGATTCATTTATTTAGCCATCCTCTAAATCGACAATCTCTCCGTCGATTACACATTTCCTGCCAACCAGGTAAACATTGTCATTTATAAAAAGGGCAAAGTTGCGGCAGGACTTATGGGGCGATTTATTTTTATATTTTATTTCGTCAAGCACGCGATGAAATGAAACGGTCGTGTCCACTATCGTCGCGAACTCACGCCAATTCGCGTTACAACCTCCTCATGGTCGATCAAATATGCTCACAAGGCAGGCAGGCATCGGAAAGTTCAAAAATTGGATTTGTGGATTCGTTTCTTTATTTGTTTGTTTATTACGCGTGGCCAAGTAGAACCAGGCCGTACGGTTTGACCAACCGGCCAAAACCCATCCCCCTTTGGACGCCACCATCGATAAAGGGGTGGCTCCAAGGGAAAAAGTGCGTATTTGACCAGTGGATCTCGCCCTCGCTAACGAACTTCAAATCCAGTTAGACTTAATTTCCGGGACCGTGTGTTTGTTTCACGTCCAAGGATCCTAAAGACGGGCAATTTTTACAACCCTTTCCCCTTTCTTCCAGGCCACGTTTTTCGCTCTCGCCAAATGAGACAAAGAGGGCCGAGGATGAAAGAACACAGGAAGGGGATGAAATGTGAAACGTATCGATTCAACCTCCACCCTCCGTCCTACAACAGCCCACCAGCATTTCATACTTAAAGAGATCATAGGTACATATAGAACGCAAGTGTATATATTACTCGATTGTTCAGACATACCTCGGGAAAATGTTTGTCGGGGGTGGAGCCCATGAGTCATTTTCCGTGACTCAAACCAATTCCCCCCCTTGGTTGAAAAAAAAATACTCACGTGATCACGGTCAATCAAGGAGGTGATGGTGTTATAATAAAGACATTACACCTTTGAGCAGGGGGAAGGAGGCAAGACGAAAAATAAAAACCAAATCGCGAAGGAGTGGTGGCGGGAAAATCGGATTTACTCAATTGAAACCCCTGAAGATTAAAAAAAATTAGGAGGTTTAAAAACACCAAACAAAAAGACTCAGTTGAGAGCCAACGGTCCACTATAACAAACTTTTTTTCTTGAAACGTCCAACTATAGCAAAAGCAACTATTTATTAGGTTTCGTGGTCCGATTGACCAAATAGCAAAAGGTTTTTTTTTTAAATTGGAACGGTCCAAAAGTAACAATCAATTGTTTTTAACTGGAAACGGTCCAACAGTAACAAATGCTTGTTTTTACTTGGAACGGTTCAACATAACAGGTTTTTTTTATCTTTCTTGAACGGTCCACTAGTAACAAACGCTTTTTTTTTTTTTTTTTTTACTTGAAACGTTTCTATTGTACAAAACGTTTATTTTTACTTGGAACGGTGCAACTATAACAACAGTTTGTTTTTTAACTTGTAACGGTCCAAAAGTAACAATCAATTGTTTTGAACTGGAAACAGTCCAATAGTAACAAACGCTTGTTTTTACTTGGAACGGTCCAACATAACAGGTTTTTTATCTTTCTTGAACGGTCCAACAGTAACAAACGCTTGTTTTTATTTGGAACGGTCCAACATAACAGATTTTTTATCTTTCTTGGACCGTCCAACAGTAACAACCGCTTGTTTTTACTTGGAACGGTCCAACATAACAGGTTTTTTTATCTTTCTTGAACGGTCCAACAGTAACAACCGCTTGTTTTTACTTGGAACGGTCCAACATAACAGGTTTTTTTTATCTTCCATGAACGGTCCAATAGTAAAAAACGCTTATTTTTAACTTGAAACGGTTCAGCTGTAACATACACTTTTTTAACTCGAAACAACATTAACAGTAACATTTTAACCAACCAAACAACAACCGATCGTTCGAAGTAAGACTAATATTCAATAACGTGAAACGTTCCAAATTAAAAAAAAAAAAAATAAAATAAATAAAAATAAAACAGTTTCCAACTTGAAACGTTCCAACTGCAACAAACGCCATTCTTCTTTGTTACGTACCAAATGGCCAACTTTGGATCGTTCCAAAGAAACTTCTTGGAACGTCCAAACTGTAACAACGCATATTAACGATATTATCTTAGAACATCTCAACTACTAAATACGCATTCCGTTTAGTAACGTTCCAACTTAACCCTACAAACGCATTTAACTTGGAACTCCCCCCCTCCCTCAATTGTATCGAACGATCCATTTAGCGATGGTTAGAGATGTAATATGTAATAAATGATAATGATGTAAAATGTAATAAACGCTTTTGACTTGAATCGTTCCTTTAACAGATCCGTTTCAACTTGAAACGTTCCAACCTAATAAGAAACGTTTTGCTTTTAGTATGATGAAATTAAAATCGAAGAACTTTGATCGTTCCAAAAGAGAGTAATATCAAAATACTTGGAATATCCAAATTGTCCACTTAAACGTTTCAATTAAAACTAACGTTAAACGATTTGAAACGTTCCAACTTTAAAAGCCATTTTCAACATGAATAGTTGAAACTGTAACAAACAATTAAAAAAGAAAGAAGACTTACTTTCTTTGTACTGGAGTACATTGTTGTGCACTTCGTGTATGGAAACACATCTGTAGCAGACGCCGTTCCTGGAACAAAAGAGAGTCGTCAATTTAAAACCGGTGGTGGGGAGAGTCCGCCTGTTTTCGCTTGTCTTTCTTACCGTAAATGTTGAAAAAGAAAGGGAAAAACACTTACTCGTGCACAATGAGGTACTTGTCATCTCGCTGGGCTATGCAACGCCCTTTGGTGCTGAACCGGTTGAGGAGAATGGTGATCGGTTGCCTCACGCCCGATTGGAACCACGAGCCTTGCCATTTTTCAGGGAATAGGCAAGACGATTCTTAAAAAATAAATAAATAAAGCATAAAAAAAATTAATCAATCATTTGATTGATTAATTTATCTTTACCGCTATGCCGGGCTGCGTATCTCAGCGGCGGGGCACCCAAGAAGAGAAGAGCAACGATGAGGGGCGCCGACCTCCAAAACACCATCACCATACTTCCCCGGCTGCCTCCTTCATCATAGCGATCTGAAAATCATCAGGCAGAAGAGCAAAGATAAGTCAAAGTCCAATCGGATGAACGAACCTGTGAATGACATCGGCTAAATAAACGCTTTACAACTTGGAACGTTCCAACTGTTATAAACGCATTATGTGATAAGAATGGACAATTTCGGGAATGTTTTAATTTTTTTTTTATAAATAATAGGAGTTGTTTCTCACTGTCAGGAGCTATTTCATGATAGTTGGATTGTTTGAAACGTTCCAAGTTTTTCGTTATCAATTTCATTTAGAACGTTCCAAGTAGGATAGTTGGGACGTTCCAAGTTTTTTTGTTATTAGTTTCATTTGATCGATCCAAGTTTTATAGTTGGCACGTTCCGATTAATTTAAACTTAGTTTCATTTGGAAATTTTGTTAAAATCGAAATGTTTAATACAGTTGGAACGGTTTAAGTTGAAAAATGTTTGTTATAGAAGGGACGTATCGCGTTGTTAAGCCTACTTTCATTTGAGAATGTACAAGTAATTTAATATTAGTACCATATGGAACGTTGCACGTAGGACAGTTGGGAAGTTTCAAGATTTTTGTTATTGATTTCATTTAGAACGTTCCATGTTGGACAATTGGAACGTTCCAAATTTTTCGTTATTAATTTCATTTAGAACGGTCCTTGTTGAACAGTTGGGGCGTTTGAAGTTTTTTGAATTTCATTTGGAATGATCCAAGTTTAACAGTTGACACGTTTCAATTAATTTAAACTTAGTTTCATTTGGAACGTTTAATACAGTTGGAACGCTCAATGTTGAAAAACGTTTGTTACAGTAGGGACGTACCATGTTTTTGAGCCTAGTTTCATTTGGGAAAGTACAAGTGGTTTCATATTAGTTCCATATAGAACGTTCCACATTGGATAGTTGGGACGTGCCAAGTTTTTTGTTATCAGTTTCATTTGAAACAATCCAAGTTGAGCAGTCGGGCGTTTCAATTAATTTATTATTCCAAGTAGTTTTTCTGATATTAATTTAGAACGTTCCGAGTTAGTTAGTTAATGTTAGTTTCATTTGGAATGTTCCAAATACTTTTATCGTTCCAAGTGTTTGTAGATAGATTTTGAACGTTCCAAGTTGTTAATCTCAATTTCATTTGGAACGACCCAACTATGTCGAAATTGTTTTACTTGGAACGATCCAAGTTAGAATTTTGGTACGTTCCAAGTAGTTTAATCTTATTATCATTAGGAACGATCCAAGTTTTTCGATATTATTTTCATTTGGAATGATCCAAGTTTTTTGATATTATTCTATCTGGAACGTTCCAAGAAGTTTAACCTTAATTTAATTTTCCCGGTAACCTTTGTTACAGTTGGAACGTTCCAATTTGTTTTACGCTTGTTGAATTATTTGAAATCGTTCCACGTGTTTGAAACATATGGCTACGTTCGGAACGTTCCAAGTGGTTGAACATCAGTTGAATCGGTTCGACCGTCCAGGTTGTGAGTATTTGTCACATGTGGAACGTGCCAAGTTCATAACCATAATTGATCCGGGGGTATTTTCAAGGGTTTTTAATGCTTTACCCAGAGGTTGAAAATTATAATCGGTACTCGCGTGAAACACGGCCGGCGATTAATTCCTGGCGGTGGCGGAGGTGTAGGTGGAGGGGTAAAATTGTCCCAGGACCCGGTGGATATATTTGTTTTTAACCACCTCCGCGACGGCGGGGGGAAGGGAGGGCGCATTAATTATTTCGCGAGATTTAACACGAATTAAGGGCCCCCGCCACGGTTTTCCCAGGGAAAAAGGCCGGATTAAAAATTTATCCCCGGCATCCTTTTATCCCGGATTTAACGGCCGGATCCGTCTTTCCATACCCTCTCCACCAACACCACAAATCACAAATTGGACGGAACGAACTTGGTACGGCTTAATTATTCATGTTTTTCCTTTCCCACCCTTCACTATCACTCTCGTTGAATGTATGTGCAGAAGGAAAAACATTGCCGGGATTTTTGACATTTTTTGGCACGAACCCGACCCAAATTCACTCAGTCACTCACCGTTCATTCAGTCACATTTGTTTACTGACTCAAGACTCAAATGAAACTGCCCAACTTGGCACGTTCAAATGAAACTAAGGTTAAACTACTTGGAAAGTTCCAATTGGACAACTTGGATCGTTCCAAATGAAACTATATTCAAACAACTTGGAACGTCCCAACCGTAACAAACGTTTATTAACTTGGAACGCCCCTACTGCTCAACATGGGACGTTTCTAATTAAACTAAACTGAAAAAACTAGGAACGTCTATACTGAAACAAACACTTTTTAACTTGTAACGTTCCAACTGTAACAAACGTTCTGAATTGAACGCACGTACTTGAAACGTTCCAAATGAAACTAACATTAAACAACTTGGAACGTTTTAAATATAAGATTCTTTCTATGTAAGTTCTTGGTTGAGACAAAAAAAGTCAGTGTCACGTGCGGGATTCGAACCCACGACCTTCGGCTAAATACGCCGCTACTCTACCACTTGAGCTATCGGGACTTCGATCCTCTCGGACACCAACTCTCCATCTCAACCTACAACCGTTCAAGTTTTCCCTCTTTTTGCCATTTTCAAATGTCGTGTAATCGGGATTGGATTCTCAGCGAATTATGAAGTGACCTCGGGGAGCTGTTTAGTGAAGTGATACTCCTTTTACTTATTAAATATTAATCCATTTTACGTTGTAGTGGTCAATTGACCAAGTTACTACTTTCAATTAATTATTCTTTCTATGTAAGGTCTTGGTTGAGATAAAAAAAGTCAGTGTCACGAGCGGGTGGATTGAAGTCACGATAGCTCAAGTGGTAGAGTAGCAGTGTATTTAGCCGAGGGTTCGAATCCTGCTTGTGACACTGACTTTTTTATATCAACCAAGACCTTACATAGAAAGATTAATTAATTGAAAGTAAAGTAGTAACTTGTTCAATTGATCACTAAAACGTAAAATGGATTAATAGTTTTAAATATATCTAAACGAATAAAATTCACGAAATAAAAAAACCTAACATGTGGTTTCACGATTGTTGAGACTAACTAATTCTACTTCCGGCTCTCACCCTAAAATTCTATAACCTCCGTCGACAGAAAAAAAACAACGCTTAAATCAAATTTCATCCCTTATTTTGAAGGATTGCCTTCCACCCTTTTTTTGCTCGAGTTGGCCCTCGTCAGGACGACAGGTGCAATTTGCCCTGTTAAAGCCAAGGGGGGCGGGATACCCGATATGAAGGTCGCCTCGGGGGCGATGTAGAGGAGGCGACAAAAGCCCGCTTTGTTGAAATTCGCCCATGCGAATAAGAATAAGGCAAGAGGAGGTGAAAGTGAAAACAAATTGGGACCTTCCCACTAAATTGGATGAAAAATTTTGATCCGATTTTATCATTCACCTATCCAACGAGCCATTCTTTCACTCAGACGGTTTGTCATTTACATTTCGTTCACTTAGCTTGTCAATGACTTACATTCGTTCGGTCACTCAGTCACTCGATTAATATCACATGAGTTCGTTGATTGCATCCACAGCACCCCCCCCCCGTAGTTCAGAGGTCACAGCAAGAATGCGGTTGGGCCCCTTTGTTTTTAAAAGCGATAAATCAGCAACTCATCGCCCTTTCTTTTTTTAAACCCCCAGTGCGAGTCATCATCGATTTCGAATTAGGCCGGGAGGAAAAATGGGGTCGGCCGTCCGTTTGCCGTTTTTCCTTTTTTCCCTCCCCGTCAAGTTTTTTCGGCTTTTTTTAAACACAGGATTCCACTTTATCCTCTCGGACGATTCGACACGGCTTCGCTTTTACACTGTACATCCCCTTCGCCCGGAAGCCGTCAGGGCGAAGGGGTGGCCGAGGCGAAATATAAATATACGCGTTAATGCATGAAAGGGCGAGGGAAAATTAAGAAAGCCGTGGCATCGGCGGCGGCGCAACAGTTCCGGCCCCCGGGGTAAGGGAGGCGACCGGACCCTTGATTTATAAGAGGGTGGAAAATGATAATTTTCCAAAAAATATTAACGCTGTAAATATTGACCCTTCCGTTAGAATAATACCGAAAACACCCATCTTTATTAAAGTTCCGATTCGCGTATTATTAATTGGGTAGGTCGTGGAGCAAGTTAAAGAACCTAAAATGTCTAATAGAGAAAAATATTTCTACGGCGATCCTGATTATTATGTCAATACGGTTGGAACGATTCAGACGCTCGAAGTGCTAACTATAAATCAGCTGGAACGTTGCCAACATTTTGTATTCCTACGTCGAAGCGGTTGAAACGGACCATACATTCCAACTGGTTAAACAGGTAGTATTTAAGAGGTTGGAAGAGTTCATATGTTCCAAGTGGTTGGATAACATCGTCAATGCAGTACAAAAAATTTTTTCCAGTTCTTATTTTTCCAACTGGCCAAACAGGTAACGTTTTGTTAGTTCCACGTCATTCCATATGTTCCAAGTTATTCAACAAGTAAGTACCACGTGGTTGGAACGTTTTTTAAGTTTCGAATGGTTGGATGATTGCGTAAGAACAATTCAATCGGTCTATAAAATTCCACAATACTAAACCAAATCGTAAGCACTCCCAACAGTTCAAATGTTCCAACAGGTTGGAATGTTTCAAAAGTTCCAAGAGGTTGGATTCCTATGTGAAAGCTGTTGAAACGGTCCATAAGTTCAGAACGTGGAGTCACACGTTCCAAGTGGTTAAACACCAAATATGAAATAAGCTGTAGCGTTCATTTCAGATTGTCGAGTTACATCACAGCCAGTTGAAACCGTCACAAGTTTTATTGAGTTACACAATGTTAGAACGGTCCGTAAGTTCCCAAAGGTTTGATTAGTACGTCAAAGCAGTTCATACAGTTCTTATGTTCCAAGAGGTTGGAATGGATACGTCAAACCTGTTAGAACGGTCGTTGTCATACAGTTGAAACGTTTCATATATTGCAGTTTGTTAAGCAGGTATTATATAAGCGGTTGGAACGT